GTCCTGTAACCTTAGACCAGTCTCTTGACCTGGTTGAATCTATCTCCCAGAGTGGTCTGTTGATAGTGGGAATTAAAATGACAGGGCGCGGTGGGATACTTTGTAAGTAACGAGTGAGGATTCACACGGTAAACGTATTTATTGATGGACCGCTTTTACTCAAGAGCTGAGACAAAAGGGGAAGCGAAAGAGTGTGCCGCGCCCTGTAGGGGGCGCCGTTCACGCACCACCTCCCTGGATCCTCAGGGCCCCAAGCTGCCGCCCCTCCAGAGGGTGGGGGAGGACCCCAGACTCGTGTGCCCGGCGGCTGAAATGGAACCTGACTACCCAGACCCTCCACCTCGTTTCCATGTGTCCACATGTTTCCCAGACTGTCTCTGAGATACATTATGCAAATCCCAGCTAGTCCAGTATCCATAGAAACCAAAGCCTCCCATCTTCCTCAGCCTGTTCCCTAGGGAAAGAGACCCACCCAGGCGACACCCACAGACAAGGACAGACAGCCCCAGAGGAGCGCTTCACCCTGCGCCGGGGGTCGGGCTTTAACAGTCGGTGGTCTGTCCCGCTCGCTGGCTCCTCCGGTCGTGGCTGCGGAAGGAATGCGTGGCACAGGCCCCTGTAAGAAGCTGCTGCATTTTCTTTTTGAAAACTGAAGGGACCTGCTACAACCCCCACCACGAACAGCCTGTCATCTTTTGCTCAGTCCCTCAGCTCTGCTGCCGCTAAAACCACATTCACAGTGCACGTGAATCAATATCTGACATCGCTTTTAATCCGGCACCTACCGGCACATGAGCCATCGCTGGAAAACGACAGTCCAATTTTATTGTGCGTGATTGATTACTAATTTTAGGTACAATTTTTCAAGACATACCTCTTTCTAGAATAACTTTTCTGTGCTTCAAACATTATGACGCTTTAATTTTCTTTTTCTCTGGACTCAAAACATGAGGCAACAAGAACCTACTGTATGCACAGGGAACTGTATTCAATTTCATGTAATAACACATAATGGAAAAGAATCTAAAAAAATTGTATATGTATATATATGTATAATTGAATTGGTTTGGCTATACACCTGAAACTAACATTGTAAATCAACTACACTTCAATAAAAACACAAAATTGTCTAAAAAAAGAAATAATTCCAAATCGAGTAAATAAAACTTCCTTTCTGTCAAAAAAAATAAAGTCTTGCCAACTCGTAAACTGAAATTAAAAACAAAACAAAACATGAGGCAGAGCTCCTGATACCACCCTCGGGTTCTTGAATACAGGTCAACAGCAGCCCCCTAAATCAGCAGTCCCTACTGCGTGCAAGACACCAGGCTTTTGTAAGTGACACATATTGTGAATCACAGGACATTAGAGTGGGAAAAGACCTTGAAAAGTTGTGCAAGTATCCTTCTTTCCCCGTGTACAGAAGTTGCACAGCTTTATCAAAAGTCCCACAACTGTGTAGTGACCGAACAGGGAAAACAGTTAAATCTCAGCTGCCAAGTACACGCCAGACCCTGTTCCAAGTGTGTTTCACATTTGCTCACTTAATCTCATCATCACTTTACAAGGTAGGTTATTATCTCCATCTTAAGCTATCACAGTATCTCCATTTTTCACATGAGGAAACTAAGGCACTGAGAAGTTAAGGAATTCTCCCAAGGTCACACAGTGGCTGAGGCAGAGTTCAAACCCCCGTGGTCCATCCCATTATCCCAACCTCTTAATCATTAGCTATTTAGGTCACTAGATACCTTGGTGGGGACTGAGATTTTAAAAACATGTTTGAGGTCTCAAGTGATCTTCTAATGTCAGGAGCAACTAAATTCCACTCTCCCCCCACCCCATTTTAAAACCCTGGGGGGAAATACTTAAACCACAAAAAGCTAAATCCACCAGTTGCACTGACAGCATGAAAACAACCATGACAAACCTCCCCCTTGAGGGGAGAAAATTACTTTAATAACATCCTTTATCTTGAGTTTTCTCCTCTGGTTGGGTTGCTTAGAGATACAGAGCTAGGGTTTTAAATTACAGTGCATTAGAGGAGCCAGAATATACTCATAAACAGAGTATTGCTGTACATAAAATTTCTCTGGAAGAACTTTTTTTTTTAATGGTAATGTAATTGCCCACGAGGAAGAGTGTTTGGGCAGAAGTGGGAGAGATTGTTCTGGTACCTTTTATACCTTTGGGATTTACAGCCACATAAATGGATGAGCTGATCCAACAATATACACAAATTAGAGACAAGACCCTGTTGTCTTTGTGTGTGTGTGTTGCATGTCTACACGCATACATCCAACTTTTCTTGGTCATTACATCACCATTTCCCATGTAATTGACATTTTTCATAAACATGTAAGTTGTATGTCTGTGTCCTTGTTAAAAAGTCTCAAGAAATTTGAGCACTCCTAATAGAGATAATTTACATGTCTCAGTTTCCTGTGGGATTTTTTGTTCACATGAATCACAATGTCAACATTCCAAGTCTCCCAGTTTCTAAGGAATTAGCACACACATACTAAGTCTGTACTGTGTTTAGGGTGTAATACGTGGCATTTGTAATCCCAAAATTCCCTTATTTAATCCCCACAACAGCCTGAGGTAGATGCCAGAATCCGCATTTAGATGAGGGAGCGAAGGTTCAAAACGCTCAAGTGCTTAGAAATCATCCGGTTGGGATTTGGATCCAGGAACCTGGATTTCAGGTTCGGGCCGCTTTCTCCTGTTCCCAGAAATGCTATCAGTTTTGTGAACTTTCAGGGATGGTTTCCCTGAGCTCCCGTGCACACCTCAGTCACTATCTGTTGCATCCCAGCAGCACACCTGGATCTGGGGGTAGAAAGGCGAGGATGATGCGGGCCCTGCACTCCAAGACCTCCGCACAGGGCAGACAGACAGACAGCTGCACCCAGCAAACTGGTAACACGCAGGGGCAGCAAGGGAGCCCAGGGCAGGCCTCAGCAGGCACCACCGAGCCAAGGACAGATGAAGGTATATAAGGGAGGGGGACAGGCACTGCAGGCGGGCAACAAGAGGCAGCCCCCAGAGGTGTGCGAGGGACCGCAGGCTCAGAGGCCATGCGGGGTCTGCGGAGAGAGCGGTGGCGAAGGTGGGCAGGATCTGTGGGCAGGCCTCCCGAGTGTCACTCTGAGGAGCTGGGAAGATCCCAGGATGGCACAGTCACCCTGTGCCAAGGATCCCAGCACCACCACCCTACTAACTGTGGGTTCATAAGATTTCCCCGAGCAACAGAGGATGGGATGCTATTGAGCAAAATTTCATCCTCCACAGAGGAGGGAGCAGGGGAGATGGTCACTGTGCACTCAGTTCTGACCAGAAAGTACCTGGTGGCCGACGTGGGGGTGACGAGGAGCCAGGAGGGTCAAAGGGGGCCCCTGAGTTATCTCCTCTGGGGCTCATAAGCATGTCTCCAAGGCTGCCAGGGGACAGGCACGTGGCCTCAGACCTTTATCAAGTGGGATAATCCCTGTTTTTACAGGTGAGGAAGTGAACTCGGGAAAGTAAACAGTGAGTCCACGAGACACAACATGTAAGTGGCAGGACCAGGGTGGCCGGAGGAGACAAAGCAACAGGTGTCAGGGATTCTGGTGAGGTCAGCCAGCCTCTGAGGCCAGGCAGCCCGGGCTGGCGGGAGCCCGTGAGGAAGTCAGGGAGCTCGGGGTACAGAGGCAGAGCTGGAAAATGATGAGCTGGGAAGCTGCCCCAGAGAAGTGTCCTCGGGCAGGCGGGAGTGGGGTCACTCAGGTGACGGTGTGAGGCTGACTGACGGTGCTGCTGCCAGATGCATGTGGGATGCGCTGAAAGGTGGGAGAGGCTGGAGAAGGAGAGGCTGCCTGGGGCACTGCCTCCACTCTGGATTTTGTCAGGAGCAGGAGAGTGACATGGGCACCGAGCGAGAGAAGGAGGCAAGGGTAGGAGGGTTCAGGGGAGAAAGGAACCGACTCTTGGTCCAGGGCTCCTTTGTCAATAGGACAACTGCCCACGCCCAGGCCAAGATCCAGAACTTGGAATCCGTCAGAGGTTCAATAAGAGTTCTAGGATACACAAGCAGCAAAAGGAAAGATAAATAAACTGGACATCATCAAAATTGGAACTTTTGTATTACAAAGGACACCTCCCAGAAAGTCAAGAGACAGAATAGGAGAAAGTTTTTGCACATCATATATCTGATAAAGGACTTGGATCTAGAATGCACAATGAACTCTTGCAACTCAGTATTAAAAAGGCAAATAACCCAGTTAAAAATGGGCAAAGGATCTGAAGCCAGTTCCCCTAAGATATACACAGGGAGAATAAGCACATGAAAAGACATGCCGTTATCATTAGGCATCAGGGAAATGCAAGTCAAAACCACAATGAAATACCACTTCACATCCACTAGGATGGCTAAATTAAAAGATGGACAGTAACAAGTGTTGACGAGGATATGGAGCAACTGGAGCTCTCATACGCTGCTGGTAAGACTGGAAGGTGGTACAGCCACCTTGGAAAACAGCCTGGCAGTCCCTCAGACGGTTAAACAGTGTTACCGTCTGATCCAGCAAGTCTACTCCTGGGTACGTACCCAAGAGAATGAAAAACACACGTCCACACAAAATCCTGTACACAAATGTTCATAGCAGCACTATCCATGGCAAAAAGTGTAAACAACCTAAATGTTTCCACCAATTGAAGAAAGAATAAATAAAATGTAGTCTATCCATATAATAGATTATCCAATAATAAAAACCCAAAATTTCAATATATGCTTCAAGATGAATGAACTTTTGCTTTGTGAGAGCAGTGAAAGGAAAATATCAGAAGAAAAAGTGGGCTTAAGCTCAAATATCACTTTTTATTTTTTTAAAAAGGGGCCTAGGGTATCCAAATTATCCTGTTGAAAAAAAAAAAACAAAAAACCTCTTCCAACATCTAAGGTGGAAATGAAAAACATTTTTAAAAGTTTATTACAACTAACAAAATAATTTCAGTCAAGATTTTTACATAGAAATTTTATTTTGATGGGCTAGATAAATACTTTATCATAGAAAGTGCACACTGGACTCGGATGCCTGGGCTCCAAAGTGCCTTGAGCTCTGATGAGCTGAGCCTTTGGATGGGCTGGCTCAGCTCACGTCAGTTCGCAGACATCCTCGCCACTCCCCTCCCTGCACCTGGTCCTCTTCACCTGGTGGCATCTCCTACCACGTCCCTCCCCGTGGCCCCCACCAATGTACACATCACATTTACAACCAATGTTTAGTTTTGGGTCATCATTTCTGTTTAAAATGTCTGTTTCTGTGAACTAGAAGACACAAGCGGGAGAAAGTTCGTGAGTCCTCGGTCAGGAACGTGCCCCAGTTCGAACACTGCTCCTACAGGAAATCATTTCCCTTTACAATGCTGTCCCGGACGTGGTGAGTTGGCAATTTAAAACTCTCTGCAGGCACGTGAGGAAGGAAAGCTGGAGGCACAAGTCTGCAGGCAGTAACGGCAGAGGCAGGAGAAATCAGGCTGAAAACACCAAAGGCAGCAGACCAGCGGGTTGAGGTCCCCAAACACAAGAGTGCTGTGGAACACCCTCCCCTCCCCCACTCCCAGCATCTCTCCAGATTGTGCCCTCCTCTCCCGACCTGTGTGAGAAGAATCCGGGGAAGGTCCCCCACACAATCACAGAAGGACAGCGCCCTCCAGACCTATGATCTCATTTGTAGATGAGGAAACTGAGGCCCAGAGAGGTAACGGGTCTAAACTGTGGTTTTTAAATTGTGTTTTTTAAGTGCTCTGGAACCTCTGTTCAGAGGAAATCATCCAATAATCCATAAATCATAGCTGATCTGATGGGCAGCCCTGCCACCCCCCACAACACACACACACACACACACACACGCCCTGAATGGGCACGCCCTCGCCCACCCCCACAACACACACACACACACACACAC